GGTATTGATACAAACAAATTACAACAAACAGGAAATGAGCTACACAATAATTCACCACTAAAAGAAGATTGGCGGCAACTACAAAATTAAATCCATAATAAATAAACCATAGAAAAGTAAAATCATGCAAAATAAAACACCAGTATAAGGTAACCAAGTATAAATGATGATTTTAAGTGATTATCTGTCCATTTTAGACGTTTACTTCTCTGGATGACATCAAAAACTTTGTTATTTTATCCACGTTAATGTCTTATGTCTGCTTCTCGTAGCACCACAGTAGACAGCTTTCCATGCGTTAATCTAAGACTTAGATCAACAAGTGATAATCCAAGTCTCTGCTCCTTAAGAAAGGGCGGAAAATATACGCTGATTAAATAATTTTGCTACAGAGAAGTGGCACTTAACTCTTTAGCACATGGAAGTAGGGTGCCACGTTTTACAAACGCTATAGTAAGCCACATGACACTCATGGAAATGACACTTATGGAAACTCGTCAAAAGCAGATACTTTTTATGATACAAGGTAGTAAGAATGGGCTAGATATATTTATCTTAACATACGCGATGGCATGTAATTCAATACTGATGGTCTAAATATTTAGTAAGAAAATAAAAATCACGTCATACGGCATTCAGACAAGCGATCAGTCCACATTCAGACTTCATCCTCCCAGAACATATTACCCAGGATAACTCCTCGAATGCGGCAAATAAAATTTAAAGTTCTTGACAAGACAAGGGTCTGCGCATCACCTCCTACCAAAGAGCAGGCCTCTGCACGGGTTACCATAAATATCCTTTAGTAGTCCAAACGTAATGACATATTTCGTATTTTCAATCACTGCGCAGCTTAGTACTCTGAACGTAATGACATCTTTCTTATTTTTCATCTACTGCGCAGTTAACTTCGTCACATCGGACTACTAAATTGATCCATACTGAGGCCTTTATTCTTCTAGGAGGTGTTGGTCTGCATCATTCCACATTTGAACATGAAGAGAAAAATAACGCAGAAATGATTATATTAGAAGGCATTTAAGTGTATCACCAGTTCTAAGAACCAAATGAAAGAATGAAGAGATCATAGACAAACTTTACTTTACCGACTATATGGTGAGAAACAGTATTAAATTGCTTTAACTAGAGAAGACATCAATCGTGCGCTTATTACTATTCAAAAAAGCTTTAAATAAATACATAAAAATATAATCTTATTTACTGCTTTCTCTCATTTGTGAAAAAAATTATTTTAAATAATTATGTTTTATAATGTTAAGTTTAGGAATTATGTTAAGTTTAAAAATTGTGTTACGTTTAAATTAAGTGATAGTGAAGTCGGATGTAAAAGCAGCATGTGAGCACGCAGCTGTGTTCATAAGTGGTATCATGATACCAACTCCTCAACTTTCTCGGTAAGCTCTACCAAATTTACAATACCCCACAATTTACAATATCCCAATTTGTTGAGCCGCCATGGCTCAGGGGATAGAGCGCTCGCCTTCCAATCAGGCGAACCGGATTCGAATCCCAGTCGATACGAATTCCGCATCCGGCTTGCAGCGAGCACAGTGCTGACGTGAAATATCCTCAGTGGTAGACGGATCATGGGTTAGAGTCTCCTTGCCGTCAGGCTAACCGTGGGAGGTTCTCGTGGTCTTCCTCTCCATGTAACGCAAATGGTGGTTAGTTCCATCAAAAAGTCCTCCACGAAGGCAAATTTCTCCCAAAACTTGATCCAGGAGTTCCCTTGTCTTCTGGATTGGGTTCAAAGTTACAAGGCTACGGAGATGAACATTGGTAGTCGTAAACCCAAAAATTGGGTCGGCTGTTCAACGACGATCATAAAATAAAATAAAATATCCCAATTTAGGGTCGGGATAGCCTGGTTGGTAGGGCACTGTGCCCATGTCCAAGAGTTCGTGGGTTCGATCCCCGCCGGCCGAAGATTCCCCGTGTAGTAAATGGTGACTGAGGCAAGTTAAATCTGTCGATTTGCAAAGTCCTCCATGCTCCCATAACAAATCAATACCTCTGGGGGTCCTGATCCAAGAGTTTCCTTGTCTTCTGAATTGGTTTAAAATTACAAGGCTACGGAGTTGAACATTAGTAGTCGTAAACCCAAAATTGGATCGGCTGTTCAACGACGATATAAAATATCCCAATTTGAGACGCAGTAGCTCAGGGGATAGAGCGTTCGCCACCACAGTGCTGACGTGAAATATCCTCAGTGATAGACGGATCATGGGTTAGAGTCCCTTTGCCATCAGGCTAACAGTGGGAGGTTTTCCTCTCTATGTAACGCAAATGCGGGTTAGTTCCAACAAAAAGCCCTCCCACGAGGGCAAAATTTCTCCCAATACTCTACCCAGGAGTTCCCTTGTCTTCTGGTATCCGAAAAGTATGACAGCTTTAACCAAAATAAAATTAGGTGTAATTTTAGTGTTTTAAGCGAAAATTCGAAATTTCTAGTTGTGTTGTTTCTAGTTCTCCTCACAGAAGATGATTGATTTAAAAAAAAATTACATTATATGTCTACGTAGATTGGCCACTTTTGCTGAGTATAACATTTTGCTTCGAAAAAAAAAGTGCAAAACGTGGCACACTACTTGTCCAACCTGCTACACGTAGAAAACAGTAGGACACGGCGTAGTTTTATGAGCAACACGCGTAGAATTATTTAAAAAAATATTAATGTTCTCCTCAAAATATTTGTCAAAAGCTATTCAAAACTCTAATTTTCAATTTTAGAAATTCTCAATCGACGCGATTTGGTTTTCAGGCATGGTTATTATAGGTTAAGATCGTCACATAAATGCGAACAATTTTTTTAATATTATAAACATAATAAAATTAAAACATCGTTCAAGCTTAAGTGATAACACCTAATTATGATGGCATATCTCCAGAACTAACAAACGAACTATGTAATTTAAAAACCACATTAATTGATTACTATATGTTTAATAGTTAATTAAAACAAGTGTTCCAAGTTATCTCATCTCTATTTAATACACTAAATAACTGAACTAGAACTTTAATTAATGACTGACCCAAACAGACTGAACCTTTAGAATCCCAATAAACAAAAAAATTTTATCTTTTGTTATATTATTTATTTATTTTTTTAAATCTTAACTATTTAGACTTAATAGAAAAATTTGCGCAATTTGCATAAAAATACCATAGTCAGACTTAGAATTTTTTTCTCCTTTTGTACGTTAGAAAAGGTTTAAAAGGCAAGTATTTTTTCTTTTCTTTCCATAAAGGTTTGCCGCCTCTAATTTATTAATATGACGCTATTCTGATTCTTCTGTTTAATTCATGCATGATGTAGTTATTCATTGTTAGTTCTTCTCTTCTGCCCTAAATAAACGTAAATCTTCTCTTAAACTTTTGCTATATCTACTACCTTGATTCACATCTTCAAAATAAGCATTTAACATGACTTATGTTTTCTGAGAGTTTTTTTTAGATCCTACTAGAACATTGGCTTCTTATACTTAATGCAATAACGAAAATTCAATGATGTTAATTTCAGAATTATTTAATTAGTTGCGAAGTTGATATTGCCGTTGATTATAAGTCTCAACTAAAAGAACTCCAACCACATAGTAGGTAATAAAATAAATAAATAAATAAATATTTGCTTAAGGTTCAATGCGCAGATTTCTATGTCACTAGCTTCAAGCAAGAATATTCTATTCAAATCACTTATAATAGATTTTATAGCATTTTTCTCCATTCTATTCGATTTCGAATACATTTAAACCGGAATATTCTCGTTTCTGTAACGTTCCGTTCCATTTTGCAATTAAGAGGTTCGATTATATTTGAGGGCATTTTTTATTCATATACCGCTCATGGGCTGCAATAGCGGCACAACTAAAAAAAATCATGCTTCGAGATAAGTGGGTTTAAAGTTTTCATTGCTAAGTAAAATGCATCAGAAATGCTTTAGTATGCTTAAACGAAGATTACCTTCAAGTTGAATAAGAGTTGTGCTAGCATTGCTGCTGAAAAGAATGTGTATTTTCATATTTACACCTGTTCTTAGTCCAAAACGGGTGTTTTTTGAGTTGTGCCCATGTGCGAGATATTTGATATGATCTTATTCGATATTGAAAATATTCGATTTGATCACATTTGAAAATATTCCATTTGATTATATTCGATGACGTTTAAAAAATATTTGATTTGATCATATTCGATGAGATTAAGAAATATTCGATTTGATAACATTTGTCAAAATTATTTAATTTGACGCTCGAGAATTTGATGGCTAAATCATAAAATAGTCTTTAAAAATTCCTAGAAATAATCATTAAAATACATAATTCGAAGTTACGTACATTGTTAAATAAAAAATTTTGGAAAAAAATTAATAAAGGCGAATCAATTTTCGAATGCAACAACTGAACTAAATATGTTCTTTTTAGAAACGTGTTCGCTTCGTTTGCAATTGTAAACTCATACGAAAACTTCGATATTATCGCATGAAACAAAATCCGAAAACTGCACTGAATTTTAAAAGCCGAGTAGGGGCGGACATTTATAATTCGAAGCTACGTGCATTGTTACATAAATTAGTGGGAAAAAAATAATAAAGGCGAATCAATTTTCGAATGCAACAACTGAACTAAATATGTTCTTTTTCAAAACGTGTTCGCTTCGTTTGCAATTGTAAACTGATACGAAAACTTCAATATTATCGCATTAAACAAAATCCGAAAACTGCATTGAATTTTAAAACTATAGTTGGGACGGGCATTTACTAATCACGGAGCCAGTCTCAATCACTACTACACACCCTTATGCTTGTTCGAATAATATGATGGTAATGAAGATTATCCACTACCGTTTTTTTAAAAAAATTCCACCGCCTTCTGGAGGCCTCTTATGACTCAGATGACGTCCTATGTCATAGGTCAAGTCAAAATGCTAGTAGAAGAAGAGGATTATGAAGAAGCGGGGGTTCATCAAAAATATGAAGGAGAAATTTTGGAGAAAAAAAGCAGCGATGGAAGTCCGAGGTCAGAGACGTAAACACGTGACACTCTGGAGCTTTTTGGATTGAAAGCGGCATTCTTTAATTAGAACAGTTCCTCTACTTCTGTGGTGGAGCACTCCATCTTTACATCGTCTGAGAAAGTGAGTATTGTTTTCATGTTTGGTAAACAGGGCGTAATTTGCTAACAACCACATGCAAATTTTAACGGAAAAATATTAAATTTAATTTAGTTAATGAAATGCTTAATTCAGGGTGGTAAACGCATTGTTTACTTACTGTTATAAGTTGTACTCTGCTGAATCCTTACAAAAAAATTTTATGTTTTTAATTATTTTTTTAAAGTTACAGAGAATTCCTTTATATGCAATATATATATNATCAATTATTTTCTTATCAAATGGTAACCAACTAAACAAATATTTTACTAACGAATAAATCAAAATATTCTTGTAATATATATATATATATATATATATATGATATTTGTAAGTGTGTTTATATATATATTAGCGACAATATATTAGTGGTTTGTAGGAATAAAAAGTTTAACAATTAAACTAATAAAATTATTGTAAGTTAATATATTTATGTTTATGAAAAATTAATATTTCGGAAATTAAATTGCAAGTCATTATTTTTGAATCAGCTTATTTAAAAAGCTTACAAAATATAAAAACATAACTTTAAGTGTTTTGAGGAAAGGGGCCACACAAAAAAAATTGTCCTGAAGCCCATAAAATCTGTGCCTGGCCTTGTCTTTACATTGAGACATTCAAAGTTTAGAGTAAAGAGAATGAGAAAAATATTAAGAGCAAACGGAGAAACTATTTTTTTTCGATTTGACAGATACAATACAAATAAAATGACCAAGGATCGTATTATTATATACGATCAAGAAAATTATTATTATTTTCTTTTATTAGAGATGTAATTGACCTACGACAGATTCAAGATGGGGACGTTATAAATAAAAAGATCGAAGATCGTATTATTATAAATAATCGAGGAAACTATTTTGGTTTGATTAGAGTTTTAATTGACCTACGACAGATATATTCAAGACAAGAACAATAAAAATAGAAAAAATCGAGATAGTAGTATAATAAACGATCGAGGAAACTATTTTAGTGTGATTAGAGATATAATTGACCTACGATTAACTCAAGATGGGAACAATACAAATCAAATGTTGCATTTCCGGTAAATTTTTTGATTGCGTATCGTTTTTGATACAAATTTTATGAAAGTTAAAAAAAAAATGAATAGCATGCTATAAGGTATCATACAATACAGATTCTGTTAAAATTCTTGCAGGTTAGAGCTTTGATCATGTCTTCAGAATTAAGGATAACTTTTTTAATTTTCAACGAAGCCATTAAAGTAATTGAATCACATATTAAACGAAATTCAATGTTGGTGAATATTTTTGATTTTGTGAAATCCCAAATCAGGGTTTTATTTGAAAAAGGTGAAGAGCTAATTTAAACAAAATAAAATGAACAACTAATGCTAGTATGAAATAGTTCACTTTATTCCAATTTTTAAATAATGTTAAAAATATCTCGATTTAAATTTTGTTGTTCTTAACATTAGAAATTTGTAAAAATTTTTAAAAAAATGCATTTAAAAACTTTTTTAATGAAACATTCTAAAATCTTGCTTTGAAGTAATATCACTAAAATGTCGTAACTGATGCCGCTTCTGGCCCACAAATCGACCCTAGCAACAATTTCACCTTGGCCCCAGTTAGGAAATATATGAACATGCACAAAGAGACCATTATTGGGATGTCTCGATTTTTAAATATTGGTCCTATATAGGGCCATTATCGGCTGAATAATGAATATAAAATATCGGGTGAATCTGACAATTCTATATAGGGCCTTTATTTTCTGTAAGATATCGGGTGAATAGGACAATTCTATATAGGGCCAGTATTGGTTGTAAAGTGGCTGTAAAATATCGGGTGAATCTGACAATTCTATATAAGGCCTTTATTGTCTGTAAGATATCGGGTGAATAGGACAATTCTATATAGGGCCAGTATTGGTTGTAAAGTGGCTGTAAAATATCGGGTGAATCTGACAATTCTATATAGGGCCTTTATTGTCTGTAAGATATCGGGTGAATAGGACAATTCTATATAGGGCCAGTATTGGTTGTAAAGTGGCTGTAAAATATCGGGTGAATCTGACAATTCTATATAGGGCCAAAATTAAAAAATAACTGTCCTTTGAACCCTTATTTAGCCAAGATTCGTACATATTGGTCCAATGAGGGTTTTGCTGCTGGGGGACTCATACGCAGACACTATATAAGAAAGACGAACCAGATATCAGTTGATTGTGAAAAATATTTAATTTATAAAGTAACTGTTAATTAAAAAAGTTTTATATTTACACTGTTTTTCAAAGATAAATAAAACACGACTGAATTTTTCTTAAAAACTTTTAGGCGTCTAATACATTTTTTAAAATTTATTATTTAAAATTAACTGTGCTTATTTCAATAAGTTCCTTAAAAATATTTATTGAAATTTAATGACATTAAACAGTTTTAAGATCAAATGATTAATTCAATTCAAAAAATATTTTATAATTTCCTTTATTTATAACTATAAAAATGTGTAAGAACGTATTTTAAGAATTTTATGTATGTTTTAGTATATATTTATTATAGTAAAAAAATAAATTATATTTCTTTTACTGCCTACATAGCAAATTTACTTTAATATAGCCACTTGCGACGACAAGTTAGTCTATCTCTATGAATACCCCTTTTTCTAAATCCTCTTTGGTCTTTGATATCATGACAATCGTGTTATAATCATAAATCGAAAATTCAAAAATAGTTTGGAAAACAATATAAACCAGCGTATTAGTGTTCAAATTATCTAAATTCAAATTGAAAATAATAAATAAGTATTCAAACTACAAATCATTTGATTTTGTTTATGATATAAATAAACGTGTTATTCAAAGCTAAGATTTGATTGAATAAATTTAATTTAGGGATTGAAATCCCAAATTAGATGGAACTTGAAGAATTTAGTCTAGTTACTGATAAGAATCAAATTATTCGAATCAACTTGACCTTAATTAAAATCAGTTAAAAAAAACACTTTTCAAATCAACTAATTACTTCAGTTTTTCATTCGATTTTTTTTAAGTTCTTATAGTATTCTATATCTTTGATTTCTACTTTTTATCTAACATATTAAAATTTGACCAGATTAATTTGTTTAGAACAATTTTTTATTGAGAAAAATAAATAACTCAAGCTGCTCTAAGTCTAATTAACTTCCGCTCCGTGACAAGGCCAGACATCCAAATCCCACGCAGAAATGTTGTCTTTAGCAGACTATGAAAGAAACACTGTATTCCAAAATGCTGAAAGAAACCAACAAAAAAAAAAGAGCTGATGAAAACGATGATGTGTGGGAAAAGATGGACTTCTCATTCCAGCAACTGTGACGTCACTTAAAAAAAGAAAAATGATAATAAACAGATGCGTCTGTTGTATACTTAAAATATATTTTTTCCCGCATAAACACAAGTGCATCGAGTAAAAATATCCACTATTTCTTTTGTTAAGGTTCTCGACCACAATTTAGAGCTTCATCAAGGAGAAAGAGTCTCGTGAAAAATATCCTGTATTTATTTTTATGTAAAATTTCTCTTCAAGTATTTAGGACTAGACCAAAAAGTGAACTTCATTTTAGATGTAGATCACGAAAGAAAAATTTTGATCAAACAAGCAGTTAATTCATTTCGTGTAAATTTTACCCATAAAAGAAATTATAATAAGTGTTTTGGCGCAAATCGCTTTCACATTTCTTTTTCTGTTTCTAGTGAACCATTACAGTTGGTATTCAGAGCAAAATTCTTTGTTTTATAGATCAAAATTTGTTTTCTTTGAGAGCCATTGAAAATTATTCAAAACCTACAAAAAAGTATGAGTACCAAAGATATATACTGTGACTTAGATTTTTTTTTTATATACACCGAAGAGCCATTACATTATGACCACCCTGCTAATAACATGTAGGACCACCTTTAGCCCTCAAAACTGCTAGCACCCGCCGTGGCATTGATTCCACAAGGTGCTGATAGGTAGTCTGAGGTATCTGGTACCAAGCGCTCATCAACTGGTTCTGCAATTCCCTCACATTGCGAGGAGGTAGCGTGGTAGCACGAATTTGGTTTTCCAAGTAGGACCACAAATGCTCTATTGGATTAATGTCAGTTGAATTTGGGGGCCAAGACATGAATTGAAAGTCACTGGAATGTTCCTCGAACCAATCCATGACGATTCGACCCTTATGACATGGTGCATTATCCTGTTGGTAAACACCATCCCCCGCAGGAAAAACTGTTGCCGTGAATGGGTGAACCTGGTCTGCAACTATGTTCATGTAGCTTACAGACGTCAGGGATTGTTCCATGAGGATTATGGGTCCAAATGTGCCCCCTGAAAACATTGTTCCTGGGCGAGAAACCATGAAAACCATTGTTATAGATGGAGGGTGGTCATAATGTAAAGGCTCTTCGGTGTACATAAATTAAAACAGCAGAACTTCCAAACGTTATTAAATGTAAACTTCACCTTCTTCAGCTAAAACCACACATTTTATTTTGCCATTACAGCCTTACCATAGTGTTTCCAGACACTCCGGAATCCCCTGTTACCGCATTGCTTAACGTTATAATAATAATAACATTATAACGTTATAATAAAGAACGTTATAATAATATATTCATTAAATAGTGAAATTTTGAAGGGAAATAAAGATGCTAGTCTATGAAGTTTATACATAGGGTGCTTATGAAACTTATAGTACACTGTTTAACATTATTTAACGTTTCACAACATTCGTACAGTGCGAAAAAATAAGAGAAACGGACCAAGTGACTCCTGAGAATCGAATCTTCACGTACTAGGCTAGGACTCAATCTTAATGCATCGAGGGGGTGACTTAAAATATGCTAATTGATTGGTGCAGAAGATAAAATATGAGTTACGAAATCAGACACAAAAACGTACTTCTCTGAATAGACATGTCTTTTTTTCCTCGAGGGATTCGGTTTTATTTGTCTCCCAAAATATAGGAGGTAGCCGCAATGTGGGAAATATGATTCCA